CCACTCGAGACAAACTAGTACAATTTATATTTCGGGACTAATGTACTATATGTATGTCTCGAAATGACTAATGCCTCTCTCTCTCTCTCTCTCTCTCTCTCTCTCTCCCTTTCATTCATAAGTAATCGATTTTTCAAAACCAAACATTTAGAATTAATTAAGAGTGTGAATCAACAATTAGCATACTAATAATTGACACGCCCTGTAATACAAACTGTCCAGCTAACTGTGAAATACACAACACCTAGATACTGGACACAGCAGGAAGATAACTCCCAACTAATTGACAACTAAACTCAACCCATAATTACTTATTTCCATGTAAACTGTCATGATATGTTTTGAGAAATATGCGTTTGAAACTATTTTTACATCCGCATAGCATCGAAGGGTGTATCAATTGTACAAGACGCCATACCAATATTTCAGCTAAATACCAGGGCCCTGTTTCACGAAATCTTCACTAAAGATAAAATCCAAATTTTAGTAGATACTTCAATTTTGATTGGCTAAGCACTAAAATCAATCTAATATTATCCAATCAAATTACTAAAATTTGGATTTTTTTTATCTTAGTTAAATTTTCGTGAAACGGGCCCCTGGGCTATTATTCACAAAAACTTAAAATCATAAACTTAAGAACTGGGGCCTGTTTCACTAAATTTTAACTTAAAATAAAATCCAAATTTTAGTAATTTCGTTGGGTAATATATCATAAGGTATGTCATTGAGTCAACTGGCGTGGTTTCGATTTCCTGGTTGTACGTGACAAGGTAGGATCGCCTGTCCAATCTCGTGGGTTTTCTCCAGATCCTCCGGTTTCCTCCCACTGCTAAAGACCCCTAGGCGCAAGCGAATTATTGAAATAAAATTGAACCATGTGTTAGTCCCGAAATGACCCTCTCTCTCTCCCTCTCTCTCTCTCTCTCTCTCCCAGTTGAAGCGGAATACGACCCGATAACTAATTTTAGTTTTTTGGTTAATTACGGACGTCATTTGGAGATTTAAAATGTTCAACGAAGACAGAAAGGCGACCCTACGGGGAATCGAAACGATGCCAGTTGACTCAATAAAAGACCTTATGGAGCAACGCGCAAGCGTTAACCATTCCGTCACCCAACCCCCTAAAACGAAATGGTGTTTTACGTCCTACTGGGTTAACGAAGACGGGCATACATCATACTGTACAATGTGCTATATCAAATTCCAATTGCCAAGAATTCATTACATGCAAGCCCATGTAGAACGTGGTTTTTCGTCCCGTATGAATGAAATCAAGCGCTATTCAGTTTGGTAAAGTTCTTCGAAAGTAGCTTATGGCTAATCCCTCACATCATCCAGAACACGTCAATGATAACAACTCTTTCCAGACCCTAGTGTAGTGAAGACAAATAAATTTTGAATTATAAAAACACGAAACGAAATAGGATCTGTGTTTTAATCAGATCGGTTCAACTATGATCGTCATAAAATTTGCCATGTTTGTTCCTTGGGCAATTGCGCATCAATGGATGGACTTCGATTTCTAATATGACGCCACAGTTTTGAAATGACGGCGATGACGTCATACTTGGTTCCAGGTCCGTATAGACCAGTGGTGGGACCACTACGGTCCGCGGCACGACAGACCCTTCCACTACACCTGAACATTTATGAGTAATTTTATCTCTAAATGAAATAAAAAATCGAAATGGCTTATTGTTGGACCCAACCTCAAAAACAGACGTCACTCTCGCTAGGATCAATAATCTTTGTGGGTCTATTTGTCGCTTGCAGCGTCACTCAATGACGTAGTTCAAAGCCGTATATAGATACAGTTGCGACAACTGTGAAGCTAGAAAAGACACCATATTGGGCCCCAAGTAATAGTACCTACTAACTTAGTAACTATCTATTTATATATGCCCTATTATACTGTTGGCTGCCATGACAGGGATGTGCATAGACACGTCATAGATTTCCGCGAAAAGGATTCTATAGGGGATAAAACATACATTTTTTAAACGAGAAGTATAACTAAACAAACTATTATTATTATTATTATTATATACAACAAAAAGCGCATATTATTGTTATATAGCCTAATTCATAAGAAAACAATATAAAAAGATACACCAGATAAAAGCGCTATTAAATATATTTAACTTATGTGCAGACGGGTAAAGTGAAAAATGAAAATTTAAATAACAATTTGGGAGATAAAACCTTTTTGCCTTCTAGCCGTCAAAATAAGTGTCTGAAATTCCATGATGTTTTGGCCTGGACCCATTCCGGATTGTATGTCAATTTTCGGTCATCGACCATTAATTATATCATGAATTTTTCGCAAAACGAAATTTCTTTAAATTGACTAATGGGTAAAAACATTTAAAATCAGTGTAATTTAAATAAAAGGTGTCTAGAGACACTCTTCTCTACGCGCGACATGTGTTTCGGGCATATGTGATACGAGATATCGCTCTCCGAAACTTCATGGTTTCTTTTGCTATTTGTTTGGGGTAAGACGTTATCATTCAACTCCCATGTGTAAATAATAATATTAATTTGTCTAATATATAAACCGCAGTTGGTTTATAGTTTGTCCGACTCCATTGGGTATGTGCGGGGTTATTTCCAATGAAAAAAATCATCTTGTTCTGATGCTCAACCAGTTTCAAACATGGAGGCCACGGTGACTAATTGGGTAAGACGCTGACTTGCTAGCTTGGAGGTCGGGTGTTCGATCCCTGCATTGGCCTAGAAAGTTCGTCGAGATTTTCCGGCGTGGTTCTCCCTTGTCAGTGATGCAGGACTGGGAGCCTGACAAGGACAGCTGTCTAGTCGTTCGGATGAGACGAAAAACCGAGGTCCAGTGTATACATTCGAAAGCACGTAAAAGATCCCTTGGCAGTTGGAATTCGATATAAGAGTAGACGATAGTGCCGCTGCCAGGGCAAAATTTCCCTCATAGCACACTGTATGGCGTATGCCCGTCTTCATTAGCCCAGTATAGGAGCAGAACAGTAGGACGTTAAACCCCATTTCATTTCATTTCATTTCAATGAAATTGAATAACAATGTGATCCTATTAATTCATAATAAACATTGACGTCAAACGGGGTATGTATGTATGTACGCCAAAATGACCATAAAGACCATGTATTTCTCAAAAATTTCCAAGGCCGGCGGGAGACCCCCCCCTCCTCATGGCTACATTGTCTCAAGTACCGCCCCCCCTCCGTACACCCCCCCCCCCCCACACACACACCCTGCAAAAATTCCTGGATCCGCCCCTGTAAACAGTTCGAAATTGAAATAACGCAGCAATCTGTTTCACAGAGTATTACAAAGATCTTCTAATATCTCTGTAAAAGATGACTGCCTTCAACACATGACGTCATATCACGCGGCGTCAATCATTGGCTCAATGGTGGCGCGTGCATTCTTTACATAAGACGTTACTGATTCCAGCAGAATGGCGCCTTTTACTCATTTTAATACCCGTTTACACTAAAATAGGAAATAATTGTTACCTAAAAATACTTCAAATGTCTATTTTTCTGATACATAAAAAAATGTTTTAGAATTTAACTTGTCGGAGGAAAAAAGTTAATATTTGTTTCTCATTAAGTCGCATCGATGTCATCCTTATTAGTGATTGTTGCGGTCTAGCGAATATTCACTGCTGATCAGTGTGATAACGCAGCTGTCGGATTAACCTTGTGGGGGGCCCTGGACATACCAACTGTGCGGGGGCCCCCATTGTTGTTTGTTCAAATTGTTCGTACTGACCGCGGATCGTACTATAGTATGTATTCCGCCCCCTTGAGTGACTGGGGTGTTTTCCTCCAGGAATTTTTTTTTAAAATTAGGATTAATTTCAGTGCATCTGAGACAATTTAGGCAGCGATTTCCTGGGCTCCGAAAATCTGTTGGTACCTACCAGTCCCGGGGGCCCCCCAATATCCCTTACTGCCCAGGGCCCAATCCTCGCCCCCTCAGCCCAGGTACTGGTTGGCTCCGTCCGGGATAAAATATTAGTATGACCCAGAATTGTGGGGCCCCTAAATGTGGGGGGCCCGGGACATTTGTCCCACTTTGCCCCCCCCCCTAGATCCGGTACTGTGTCCATGCAACATTTGCCCCCATTAAGCACTGAATGGCGCATGCCCGTCTTCACTAGTCCGGGGAACCACGGTGACTCCGTAAGACGTTGGCTCGGTAGTCTGGCCGTCGCTGATTTGCCCCCTGTGTGGCCGTGAAGATTCCTCCTTGTCAGTGATACAGGGTAGAGTGCCTCGCAAGGGACAACGTATAGTCGTTTGGATAGGACGAAAAACCGAGATCTTGTGTACATATTTACGTGCACGTAAAAGATGCCTTGCCAGTTGGAATTCGATATGAGTAGACTGTACTGTAGCGACGCTGTCCGGGCAAACTTTCCGTCATACTCATAGCATACTGTATGGCGTATGCCCGTCTTCATTAGCACAGTATAGGAGCAGAACAGTAGGACGTTAAACCCCATTGATATACTATCTCAAGTATCGGGCTAATCCCGTCCTGCAAAAATTCATAGCCGACTGTATGGCGTATGTCCGTATTCATTAGCACCTTATAGGAGCCGAACAGTAGGACATTAAACCCCAATTCATTTTATTAGTTCGATCGATACCGAAAAGTAAGCTGGTAAACCGAAATATAGATTTTGTTATCCGGTTGGTCAAAAAGCTGTGACAGGGCAAAAATTGCCCCATTGCGCAATGCGTGGCGCATAACCGTCTTCAAAAGCCCTGTCGATCCCGACATTAAAACCGTATTTCCTTTGTCACCCAGGCACCAGCTTACCATGATTTGTTAATTAAGTAATACCAATAAAATTAACACGATTAGTTATTTGTTAATGTCTAATTGGATGTATATTACACACATGCTCTTATAATTTATTGGAAATCTTTTATATCGTCAAATGGCGTGTTATATATCTATATATATATATATATCGTTTTGCTTATTTGTAGAATAAATCTAATGGCCGTGGGACCAATCAAGATATTGGACATTACTGGTTTAATTAATCCCAACTATGGTAACGGATCCTACCTGCGAAGCAAGCAAAAATAGATTTAATTTCATCGATGGAGAATCTGGAGTTTTCGTGTACATCTGTTATTTTGTTTTATGAGATGAGATGAAACTTCATTTGATGAATTAAGATCTGTGGATTTTTCTCATTTTCAACTCATCTCAACTCTCTGCAAATCAAAGAAGAAGACGTGAAGGACAAAACTCGACCAGAAAACGTCCACATGTCCAGAAGCTTCTTACATTTCTTGCTTGTCGGACATGGCGGCCAGCAGCGATCTCACCACCATGGTCATATCCTCGGAGGAGATGACATCTCTAGTTCCAGAGACGTCCTCCGCTGGACCGAAGCCTCCCCCCATGTCATCCTTGGCTTATACGATAATTGGGATAGTAATGATGTGTTATTGTTGTTTGGGATTCACTTTCAACAGTTGCTCCATTCTGGTTTTTGCCAAGAACAAGAATCTCAGATCCCCGACCAATATGTTTATACTGGCGTTAAATATTTGTGATTTCCTCATGGCATCTGCAGCAGCTCCGTTCTCGGCGTTCTCAAGTTTGTCCCACGGATGGATGTTTGGAGAAATCGGTTGTTTATACGAGGGTTTCATGGTTTATTTTCTCGGACAAACATCCATGTACCTACTGGCAGCCATATCATTCGATAGATATTTTGTTATAGCCAAGCCATTACAAGCTTCTAAAATAACACATCGTATTGCTGGAATAAGTGTTGGTATCTGCTGGTTTCTGGGATTCTTGTGGTCGGCGTTACCTGCCGTGGGTTGGAATCGCTACGCGTTGGAAGGAGCCGAGATATCTTGCAGTGTTGTATGGCAGAGTGACAACCCCTCAGACATGAGCTATATATTTGTAATATTTTTCGCCTGTCTGGTTGTTCCTCTAGGTGTCATGTTTTTCTCCTATTTCAACGTGTATATGACGGTAAGTGAAATAAAATTAATATTTTTCTCTTATCAACAGGGGGCGTTGGATGGCCGAATGGTTAGCGTGTGCGCGCTGTATCCTAAAATCTGTCACTGAGTCAACTGGCGTGGTTTCGATTCCCCGATTGCACGTGACTGTTCAACCTCGTGAGTTTTCTCCGGGTCATCCCACTGCTAAAGATCCCTAAGCGCAAGCGATTTATTGTAATAAAATTGAACCATATGTTAGTCCCGAAACGACAAAGTTTGTATCGAGTGGACGTTAAATCTCTCTCTCTCTCTCTCTCTCTCTCTCTCTCTTTCATTACCCCAGTCGGTGCAGAACAGTAGGACTTTAAACCCCCATTTCATTTGATTTAAATAGGTCAATAATTGTGTTCGGTAATATGATACTGATTGGGACTAGCCGAACTAAAATATGACCTAATGTTCCCGTCAAAATGTACAACGTAATTCAGACATTATCTGACGACATATTCCCGCTGTGGGATTAAATAAGGCTAATGATTGGTTTTAATAATATGAAACGGAAGTCAACTGTCCGTCCTGTGATTTATATAAGTCTAATATTACCTGTGGCTTGCTTGTTAAATTGCTTCAATGGTACACACATCAATAATCTGTCTACAGGACGACAACACATAAAACAACAGGGGAGTTGGATGGTTGTATCATAAGGTCTGTCATTGAGTCAACTGGCGTGGTTTCGATTCCCCGGTTGTGCGTGACAAGGAGTAGGGTTGCCTTCCAGCCTCGTGGGTTTTCTCCAGTTTCCTCCCACTGCTAAAGACCCCTACGCGCAAGCGAATTATTGAAATAAAATTGAACCATATGTTAGTCCCGAAATGACATAGTTTGTGTCGAGTGGACGTTACCCTCTCTCTCTGTGTAAAAGTTAGATAAAGAGCTGGTCGTTCTGGCTATATTGGTTGTTTGTAGTTTTGACAAGATGTGTGCATTGCTTGTTTATTATTATAAATGAAATGAAATGAAATTAAATGGGGTTTAACGCCCTACTGTTCTGTTCCGAACTGGGCTAATGTAGACGGGCGTACTAGTATATTCGAGAGTTAACCTCGCTTCTCCATTTTTAAATTAAATCATTAATTGGCCGAACCGTGCATTGATTGTTTATTATCGTAACCGCGGTACTAGCATATTCGAGACTTAACTTCGCCTCTCTATTTTAAATTAATTGGCCGAACCGATCAAATCTATTTAAAATCGGAGCCACCCGATAGTCGTTTATTATAGGCTTGTTTTGTTAATAAATGTCTAATTAATAATTTGAAATAACATTTAAGCCGTAAAGAAAGACCTGCAATAGACAGATTTAGCTCTTGCATAAAGCATCGTTATAATTACACATTAAAGTAGCCAAGTCTCTAAGTCAATATCATCCAATGTTCTCGTCATTGAAAACAGGTATTATTTGTCAATTTAAATCTACATTGATGTTGTAATCTTATCGGAAAAAGGTGGGTTTCTGATATCTAATATTTAAGACAAAAAAAACATTCTACCATTGCATTTCAGAGACTCGAAGAACGAGGCTAGACATTCCACAAATCATGTCAAACGGTGACGCCATTTTCTTATCTGGAGAGCATGCGCAAAAATATTAACGGTGCACACTGGAATAATCAGACGCCAAAAAATTGCCATGCGATTGAGACTTCTGGCGTATTGCGCCGAACATAACTGATTTGAAATTAGAGTAAAAACGGAAACGATTAAATGTAAAACAGTTTATATACATTCATATATTACATTATTATATGCATTGCGACCGGCCGTTTGTGTCATCCGGTTTCCTCCCACTGCTAAACAGCCATACGCGCAAGCGAATTATTGAAATAAAATTGAACCATATGTTAGTCCCGAAATGACCTAGTTTGTGTCGAGTGGCCGTTAAACCCCATTCTCTCTCTCTCTCTCTCTCCATTTGTGTCAATTTCTAGGTCCCAAATATTAGCGATTTAACTCCTTTAAATAACCAATCTAATAGGTACATATTAGCGTGCATTATGCCGTGGGGAATTTGATATTTTCGCGAAAATTGTAAATGACGAATCGCTGCTTTAACATAAAACAAGAACGTCATAAAAAGCGAAACTATTATATAGTAAAATAATTTTTATATCAACTGCTTTTTATATTTATTGTACGAGGTTGATTGATATTAGCTGTCATCCACTGTTATACAGAGAAAATAGATTTACAGCTCGCGTGCTCGTAGTCTTATTCATCGTCATCTCCTTGTTTGTAACAATAACCACAAAATTCTTTTATCTTCTTTGCCAGGAAGGTGCTGATTCTATAAACAGGAGATTCCCGGTGCCATGCCATAAAATCTGGTTATTCCCTTCAGACTTGTAGGGTCGCCTGTCCAACCTCGTGGGTTTTCTCTGGGTCCTCCGGTTTCCTCCCACTGCTAAAGACCCCTACGCGCAAGCGAATTTTTAAAAAAAAAAAATTGAACCATATGTTAGTCCCAAAATGACCTAGTTTGTGTCGAGTGGACGTTAAACCCCATTTCTCTCTCTCTCTCTCCTTCAGACTTGTCTTTAGTAGATTCGAGGGGTGAGAGGCACGGTGGCTCAGTGAGTAGGAGATCCCGTGTTCGACAGCTGTCTAGTCGTATGGATAGGACGAACAACAGAGGTCCCGTCTACACATTTGCGTGCACGTAAAAGATTCCTTAGCGCCGCTGTCTGGGCAAACTTCCCCTCATAGCACACTATATATGGCGTATGCCCGTCTTCATTAGCCCAGTCCGGGCAGCACAATAGGACGTTAAACCCCATTTCATTTCATTTTGTCTTTAGTAGATTCGACGGCGGTTGAGTGACCGAATGGTTAACGCGTTCGCGTTGGATCATAAGGTCTGTCATTGAGTCAAGTGGTGTGGTTTCGATTCTCCGCTTGTACGTTACCAGGAGTAGAGTCGTCTGTTCATCCTCAGGGATTTCTCCCCAATTATTGAAATAAACTTGAACCATATGTTAGTCCCGAAATGGCCTAGTTTGTCTTGAGTCGACGTTAGTCTCTCTCTCTCTCTCTCTCTCTCTCTCTCCCTCTCATGAACTATATATAGCGAGAACTGTCAGCTTTTTATCAAAATCTTATAACATACACCTTTAACAAAAGCGGAATAAATAAAAAACTTCCCACGGAAATGTGTTATTCGATATCATTGAATACAGGCATTTAAATCAACTACATGTTCATGACACAGATTCCAGATATTCCTATTTTTAAAGGGACAATAACACTCTTGCTGGCTTGAAAGCTCCAGAAAATAAATAATATCTCTATCTAAGTACTAGATGTTTAAGTGTCCTACCTGTTGTGTAAATTATCCATTACATCCTATTTTACTTGTCCAGAGGGTTCGAAAATATTTTTAAATCGAAGTTTCATTTGAAAAGGTTTACGTTAGACGTTTCAAACCATTATGTTGAATTTTTCAAAATTTTTAAATAAGGTGTGTTAAGATGAAATTTGTATCATCAATTAATTGAAATATTCTAAAATAGTACAATTTGTTGACCAGAGTAAAGATTGGGACATATTATTCAGTTACAACAAGAGTGGTATTGAGCCTTTAAAATTAACTTTACTATGGCGGATGACGTCCTTTTTTGAAGATACATCAAGTTAGATTTATTTGTTTTTATTTTTTATAAGAATTTAATTTTGTTTTCAAGAAAAACAGTGACACGCGTGGGCTATTGTAGAAAATAAACGACTTTGTCTTATACTTTAATTTAAAAATGTATCACAAAACCTCCGTTTATTTCCTCCAGACTTGTGTCTATTGGATAAAAACTCTGTGCCGAGGTGTTGTGTTGACGAATGGTCTATCGCTTGGGTGTTAAATCAAAAAGCATGCTATCGATTCCTAACTTGTATTTAACGAAGAGAAGGGTTGGACTAAACGTGCAATTTGTCATATTAAAGACATTCTTATTTTCATATCAGGGATTTGGCTCTCTGTCTCTCTCTCTCTCTCTCCGTTTCATTTTGTTTCGTAGGATAATGTTCCGTCTTTGTTGAGCATTTTAAATCTCAAAATCACACTTAAGTCCGTAATGAGACTGGTGTTCAACTGTAGACATAATTAACATAAGATTAAACTAAAATTAGTTAACGAGTCGTCTTCCGCTTTTAAAAACTTCAATTTGAAAATTGTGGTTTCTTCCGTTTTCAGCTTTAAAATTAAAAAGTTTTACATTCTTGATCTGTACAAAATGCTGTTATTTTCACCAATTACGTCATGTTGAACATGATCTGTTTCCAAGGGTCGTGGTTGAGATTTAAATCCATGTACAAATTTTAACTGATGACCAGGGCCCTGTTTCACGAAATTTTAACTAAAGATAAAATCCAAATTTTAGTAGATAGTTCAATTTTGATTGGCTAAGCACTAAAATCAATCTAATATTATCCAATCAAATTACTAAAATTTTAGTTCAATTTTGATTGGCTAAGCACTAAAATCAATCTAATATTATCCAATCAAATTACTAAAATTTTAGTAATTTGATTGGATAATATTAGATTGATTTTAGTGCTTAGCCAATCAAAATTGAACTAAAATTTTAGTAATTTGATTGGATAATATTAGATTGATTTTAGTGCTTAGCCAATCAAAATTGAAGTATCTACTAAAATGTAGATTTTATCTTTAGTGAAGATTTCGTGAAACAGGGCCCTGGTATTTAACTGAAATATTGGTATGGCGTCTTGTACAATTGATACACCCTTCGATGCTATGCGGATGTAAAAATAGTTTCAAACGCATATTTCTCAAAACATATCATGACAGTTTACATGGAAATAAGTAATTATGGGTTGAGTTTAGTTGTCAATTAGTTGGGTGTCATCTTCCTGCTGACAGTTTGTATTACAGGGCGTGTCAATTATTTGTATGCTAATTGTTGATTCACACTCTTAATTAATTCTAAATGTTTAGTTTTGAGAAATCGATTACTTATGAGAGAGAGAGAGAGAGAGAGAGAGAGAGAGAGAGAGATGAATAATAGTCCTGTGTCCAGTATATAGGTGCTGTGTATTATTATGCTAATTGTTTATTCACACTCTTAAAGGGGCATCATGGGAGATAAGATAAAGAGCTGGCAGGTTTCACTATAATAGTTAAAACGAAGATAATGTAAAGGAAATTTGCTGAAAATTTCAGTCAAATTGGTCCACTTTGAACCGTGATATTACCTTTTGAATTTTAGGCCTAGCCTCAATCATCATTACTGAAGTCGGTACCATAAAAAAACATAGTCTCGACTATCCATTTTTGGATTAAATCATCAATGAGCACCAAATCGGATTCAAATCCAGTAAATATCGCAGGCTGACGATGACATCGAGAGTTGATTATGGTCTGGATAAGTTAATTAATGTCTAATTAATAACATTTCATGTTTGGTTTCTCTCTGTGATTTATGGAACTTATATTCATACAGGGGGGGGGGGCTAAATAGTTAGCACGTGCGCGCTGTACCATAAAGTCTGTCATTGAGTCAACTGGCGTGGTTTCGAATCCCCGGTTGTACGTGGCAAGGAGTAGGGTCGCCTGTCCAACCTCGTGGGTTTTCTCCGGGTCCCCCGGTTTCCTCCCACTGCTAAAGACCCCTACGCGCAAGCGTATTATTGAAATAAAATTAAACCATATGTTAATCCGGAAATGATTTAGTTTGTGTCGAGTGGACGTTAAACCCCATTTATCTCTATATATATATTCATACAATAATATCGTCAGTTGAGTTATAATTGAAAACACATTTTACTTCCGTCAAGAACTTTAATGTAAGGCAAGAAACTATAGAAATAGTTGGATTCCTTAAAAAAAAAACCACCTATGTAATTTGCCTGTTCCATTTAAAGGGACAATAACACTCTTGCTGGCTTGAAAGCTCCAGAAAATAAATAATATCTCTATCTAAGTACTAGATGTTTAAGTGTCCTACCTGTTGTGTAAATTATCCATTACATCCTATTTTACTTGTTCAGAGGGTTCGAAATTATTTTTAAATCGAAGTTTCATTTGAAAAGGTTTACGTCAGACGTTTCAAACCATTATGTTGAATTTTTCAAAATTTTTAATAAGGTGTGTTAAGATGAAATTTGTATCATCAATTAATTGGAATATTGTAAAATAGTGCAATTTGTTGACCAGAATAAAGATTGGGACATATTATTCAGTTCCAACAAGAGTGGTATTGAGCCTTTAAACAGTTACTTTAAACTTTCACAGTTTTCCATTTGGCAAAGGATTAACCAACCCTTAAGACGAACAGAGAATTAAACATGGGTGCCATGGCAATACCGTGCTACCATTTTTTTTTCTTCTCCTTCTTTTTTGTCCTTAAGCCTTGTGCGGACACGTCGACAACAAGGGGTAATCTAAGACCCCAGACATAAATTGGTTTTTGGATGCATAATTTTATTCAAATATGATCAAACTACAGCCTCATATAAAGACTGAATAATAATCAAAGTAAAAAAAAAAATATTTGAGGTATTAACAGTGACGATATGAATTATAAGGTATTTTTGAAACCATACAAATTTACGTTTCCATGTAGAATCGTCTTTTGACGGGGATGGTAGAGTACCTAGATTTGTGTTCAGATCTAGATTACTAGAATGATCAACACAATATCATCAGTTAGAAAGATTCCAAATACAAAGCTAGCACCGAGGGCAGAACAGATTAGACCAGCAAAATGTTTAAAAGGAAAGGGGAGGACCCTTGTTTCCGATAATGTAATACTCGTAGTTTCTTGTCAAATGATGAATGTTGCCATTACCTCACTTCCGTTATACCCGACGTTAAGTAGCTAACAATGTATAAAATTCTCGTTAAGTAATTATGAACTAGTTCTCCACAAATGTTAACGATATTGTCGTAGGGCCCCAGAAATACCCCTTGTATACGCACAAGGGTTAAAGGCGATTTTACACAGAAACTTTTCAGATCGAAGCTTTGGTTTTTCACAAACACATTTGGTGTGCCAGGCTAACATCGAACACGGGACCGCCAACGTCTTCTTACTCACTGAGTCACCGAGGCTCCCGGAGATGTAATGTTATTCAATGCATTCTTCACACTTCCAAGGCCATAAGCGAAGCCCCGAAGCCCCGAAGCCAGAAATGTTCGCCCACTTCAAAGCCCAGCCTTGAGGCGAAGTTTTAGCATCGCAACGTCTTCGCAGATCATTTTTTGAGCGAAGCTAATGAGTAGAACTTTGTTGAATTTAACTTCTGCGCTTCGCTTTAAACATCGCAGCCGAACAGTCAGTCAATCAGCAACACGACGTCTGCCATTGCGATCACGTGAACCATCTAACACCATGACAAGGCCAGCTTCTGCTAGCTTTTGTACAATCGACGGAGAAAACCCACGAGATTGGACAGGCGAGCACACGTGCTAACCATTCGGCCATCCACCTCCTCGCCTATCTTAGCTTCACTTCGCATTTGAAGCTTCGCTTATCGAGGTATAAATTGGCCTTTAAGTGGTTTTTGGGAACACAAGCAGGGGCTGTTGCTCACCTTATCACCAAAATTGGTTTTTGGCACATCTCGCGTACATTCATGAAATCTGTGTTAAAATGTCCCTTGTGATTCTCAAAGACAATATAAATCCCTCGCAGTAGTCTATTCTGATATAACACAAATTCTGGTGATACTGTGAACAACGCCCCCATGTATGTCATGTCCTGAAAAGCTTTAGTTAAACATATATTATGCAAGGGCTAAATCTGCCTATTGCAGGTATTTGTTTAGGCCTGAAATATTATCTAAATTATTAATTAACTTATCCAGACCATAATCAACCCTCGATGTCATTGCTAGCCTGCGATATTTACTGGATTAGGATCTTTTTTTCTGCTCAACTTTCATTCATGATTTAATCATGAAATAGATAATCGAGACTATGTTTTTTATCGTACCGACTTTAGTAATGATGATCGATTATGTGGCTATAACTCTCTCATTATCGGTCTATTGTTGACTTAATGACATCATCATCCTGTTTTGGAAAAATATAATCACGATTCTTGGTTCATACAGAGTACAATAGACAACCTGTTACATCACTCGTCATCATATCTATTCGTCCATATATAACCCCGATAATTCACAATCATAAGATATGACGATTCAAGTTTTAACAATTTATTAAGTATCTTTTTTTGTTGTACAGTCAAACCAATTACATTTTCAAGTTTTAAAAGAGGTAATGTTATATAAATTATTAAACATACATTATGCAAGAGCTAAATCTGCCTATTGCAGGTCTTTGTTTAGGCCTGAAATGTTATCTAAATTATTAATTAACTTATCCAGACCATAATCAACTCTCAATGTCATTGCTAGCCTGCGTTATTTACTGGATTAGGATCTTATTTTCTGCTCAACTTTCATTCATGATTTAATCATGAAATAGATAATCGAGACTATGTTTTTTATCGTACCGACTTTAGTAATGATGATCGAGGCTAGGCCGATAATTCAATCTCTAAATTCTCGGTTCAAAGTGAATCAATTTGACTGAAAATTTCAGCAAATTCCCTTTACAATATCTCGGTTTAGAGTGGATCAATTTTACTGGAATTTTCAGCAAATACCCTTTACCTTATCTAGTATTTACTTATAGTGAGAACTGCCAGCTCTTTATCTAATCTCCCATAATGTATCTTTCAATCTGTGCCGGTTCCTGTTATTTATTGATTTAGTTTCATTACAGATTAAATCCATCAATAAGAATCAAGTATGGGACATGAAAAGTCGAGTAGCTCGTAGAAATCTTAGAATCGAGAAGAAAATGTTTAAAACAATTCTAGTCATGTGCGGTAAGTATACTTAAAACATAGATATGACGCCACCCTTCGATGTTTTTAACCAGTTGTTCTTTCTATTTACATAATGGACAGTCTTCGACCATTATCTATCACTTAATGGGCCAATCTCGATAATATTTTGGAGAATAAAGCTGCTTAATGTTGTGTTAAAAGCCCTTACTCAACTAAACCGAGTAACTAACACCGTCAATCTTCATCTGAAAACTGAGACCGGCGTCCCAAGCAGTATTATACGGTGTCTTGATAAAACCAGACTTTTCTCTAATAAAAATAACGTGTAGGTGAAATTTATCTTTCGCTATCAAGTACAGCACATGGGTCATGTGGGTCATGCACTGTATAGACCTCTAAAAGAATAACAATCGATTATCAGGTCACCCAACGAAAAAACACCCGAAGTCTTAAAAGGGTTACATGTCCAGATAAACGGTTTAGACGTTCACGTCCAAACGACTCGATATTTTGAGCTGAAATTTTGAGACAAGGTAAATACACCATTCCTCTATATTATGGCACTTAACTTTCATACGTACACTGACTTTTATTTTTGAGACTCTGTTCAAATCGGGATAAGTGTACATTGAAATCGATTAACGTCCTGCGATATATTTAAGGGGCATTATATAAGAGCTAAATCTGCCTGTTGCCTGTCTTTATTTGGACTTCATATGTTATATAAGTTATTAATTAGACATTTATTCAAATGACAAGCCTATAATCTGCTGTCTAGAACATCAAATGTTATATAAGTTATTATTTAGACATTTATTCACATGACAAGCCATAATCAACTCTCTAGATTATCGGATGGCACAGATTAAAATGGACTGAAATACGATCGCCATTTAAAGATTTAATTTAAAAATGAAAATGAAATGAAGTGAAATGGGGTTTAACATCCTACTGTTCTGCTCCTAACCTGGGCTAATGAAGACGGGTATACGCCATACAGTGTGCTATGAGGGAAATTTTGCCCAGACAGCGGCACTTCGGTCTACTCTTATATCGAATTCCAACTGCCAAGGGATCTTTTACGTGCACGCCAATGTGTAGATGGGACCTCGGTTTTTCGTCCCATCCGAACGACTAGACAGCTGTCCTTGTCAGGCCCTCCGTCCAATTTCAAAATGGAAAGGCTGGGCAGCGGTTCATCGGGATTTTCCAGCGTGGTTTCCTCTTTTCAGTGGTGCAAGAAGGGGACAGGGGCAAGCGATAACGTATAGTCATTTGGAAGAGACGAAAAAAGGAGATCTTGTGTACACATTGGTGTGCACGTACAAGAACTGCTGACAGTATAACGTATGTCCATCTCCAATAGTCTGAAAGTAGGACGTTAAACCCCATTTCATTTCTTTTCTTCCATATTTTGAAGAACCGGGCTTCCCAATTGTGTTAGTTGGTGATTGCGAAGCTGGTTTGTGTAGCCCCTCGGGTGCTTCTAGACACCTTGAATTAATAGTGCACCTGAAAGATCCCTTGGCAGTTGAAATTATTAATCTAAAAAATAAGAACTAATCAGTTAATTATTGATTGCTCTGTTTTTTGTTTTCAGCTGCCTTTGTCGGAGCATGGACGCCATACACCGCAGTGTCCTTCTACGCAGCATTTGGTGGGGCACATGCTATTTCACCTCTTGTGGGAACTCTGCCAGCTCTGTTGGCTAAATGTGCGGGTTTGCTCAACCCTATAATATACGTGGCGACCAATAAACAATTCCGTACCGCATTTTATCAGCTGGTGCCTTGTGACGGAGTCAAGAAAACGCTACAAAAGAAGGAAGACGAACCGGACTCGGACGACTCGGGCGACGAAAACGAAACGAAAACGAAGAAGGACAGTAAAGATAATAAAGATAACAAAGCGACTACGAGCAAAAAGGGTGGCGGTGGTAACGCCGTGGGTCCAGCCCCGGAGGTTATTGACGAGAAAGAAGCCGAGACTCAGATAGAGGAAATTATTCACACTCCGAACCATACCGCCAATACTAACGTTATAAAAGTTGAACGGGTAGAAATGACCGAACTAACTAAAGTTGATTGAAAAACTGTGTGTTCGGAGAACATCGTTTACTTGTGTCCAAAATTAGGCATTCCAGAAAGAGTTCGTGTATTCATGCGTGATGCTTGATACAGATGGATGGGACAGGTTAAGAGCGTATCGTCGCTGGAGATTACGTTGTCATGGTTATCAAGAACATGGTGTTATCACTGACTATTGTCTTTCACATATCGAAATATACATATATATAAATATTATATAAAGGTGGCGCCCTCAATTCATCATTTCACTATACGCCTGATTTGTTTGTATATAAAATGATAAATGTTGTACCACTGTTGGCATAGCAACGCTTCCATATTTAATATGTGCTCAATAAACCGTGTTTGTAACATAATTTCTTCTTTGGATAATCACAATATTCCAAAGTGCACAGGATGTTTCGAGATAAAATTAAGATGTTATTAGGGATGATTCGGCTGCAGGTTGACTTTTCGTCAGTGGAGGCTCGACTGGGCTGTCCCAGAATTGAATATCGGCGTGCATCGAAAGGAAATCTCTGGAATTATCAAGTCCACTTTATAGGGTGAACATAGTTAAATAAATTTATGTTTGTCTCAAGAGAGAGAAAGAGAGAAATGGGGTTTAACGTCCACTCGACACAAACTAGGACTAACATATGGTTTAATTTTATTTCAATAATTTACTTGGGCGTAGGGGTCTTTAGCAGTGGGAGGAAACCGGAGGACCCGGAGAAAACCCACGAGATTGGACAGGCGACCCTACTCCTTGTCACGTACAACCGGGGAATCGAAACCCCGCCAGTTGACTCAATGACAGGCCTTATGATACAGCGTATTTTATAGACGACATTATATTCCTTTTCTTTCCATTTCTAATAAATACATTTTTGAAAATTAAAACTAATTTTACGTGCCTGCCAACGCGTACAAGGGACCATGATTTTTAGTTCCGTCTGAAAAAGAGAGAGAGAGAGAGAGAGAGAGAGAGAGAGATGAGATTAAACGTCCACTCGACACAAACTAGGTCATTTCGTAACTAACAAATTTTCAATAATTCGTGTGCGCGTAGGGGTCTTTAGCAGTGGGAGGAAACTGGAGGACCCGAAGAAAACCCACGAGGTTGGATAGGCGACCATACTCTTTGTCACGTACAACCGGGGAATCGAGACCACGCCAGTTGACCCAATGACAGACCTTATGATACAGCGCGCACTAACCAGTCGTCCTTTCAGCCCCCGTCCCCCTTTCCACGGGAACGAAGCACATGATTTTAATATCCACCATCAACCAATCAATAACCAGGACGGGTGTGGGTTGCTTTTGTCAGTGGAGCGCGACTGCATGCCTGGCACGGAACAACGTCAGATGTCCCATGTACAAGTTCATGTGCACGTAAAAGATGGAATTCGACAAAGACCATGCTTCTTTCCTGGAAAAACTGTCCCCATAGCACAGTGCATGGCGCATACTGGTCTTTATTAGACATATTGGGAGGGGGGGAGGGCGGTTAGCGCGTGTGCGTTGTATCATAAGGTCTATCATTGAGTCAACTGGCGAAATGACCTAGTTTGTGACAAGTGTACGTTACCCCACCCCCTCTCTCTCCCTCTCTCTCTCTCTCTCTCTTTCTTGCCAGTAGTGTAGGGCAGCGGGTCTAACAAGAGACAATATTGGCGTGCGCGTAAAAGATGCCTTGGTGATTTGGAATTCAATATCTCCCTTCATTAGCCCAGTCGGGGCAGAACATTAGGGGGTTAATCTCCATTTTACATATTAATTTGTTATTATTTAAAACTAAGTCCATCAAATTATACAGGGACATATTTGCTTTATGGTTACAACATCCGCACTCTATTACGTTTCAATGTTTCTTTTGTTGACGATTCTGGAAACAGTTGAGACGGAAATTATTGAACTCAGTCATGTGATATAATAATAGATATGATCTAATTTGTCTCAGCATGGTTGAATTGTTTGAGATGACGTCAATTAGTTCACGTCTGTCTGACACACACTGTAGATAAACAAGAAGCGGTTGCCATGCAAGATACGCCCACATTTTGCAAAAGTTGGACAGACAACAAGCGAAAGAAAGAAGCGATTTTTCGTACAATCAGGAGCCATATTCCAAGAAGTTACTGTCCGCAATGCGTGAATATCTACAGGAACCTAGATATTTGGGATATAAACATATATTTCAAGTTTCTTCAACATCGGATAAAAATTGTGACCTCTACAGGGCCCACAACCTTGGTATTACATACTTTTACACTATTTGCCATTTTGTCCGGCTGTTTCGGTCCGATTTTTACGAAATTCGAAGTCAATTATCATTATGGTGTAACGGTGATATACTAGAATGTTTGGTTTTTTTTTTTTTAAATCGGATCAAAATTGTGACCTCTAGAGCGACCACAAGCTAAAATCAGGGCCCATAACCCAGGAAGTTGCGGTCCGATATGCACGAATATCGACAGAAACCGAGATCATTGGGTTATAAACATACATTTCATGTTTCATCTAAATAAAAATTGTGACCTCTGAGTGACCACAAGCTAAAAACATGATTTTGCGTAAAATCAGAGGCCGTAATCCATGAAGTTTCTATCCGATAAATTGCCAATATCGCCAAAATCGAATAAGAATTGTGACCTGTAGAGTGTCTACAAACAATATGCGTCCACATAAAAAGGGGATCGCCGGGGGGGGGGGGGGGGTCATTACCATATTTATAGATTCATCCAAAGCAGCGCCAACCTTAACATAAATAGAGTCGTGTGCAGTATACAGTAATCACACCTCCCCCTGATGGATTGTTGATCTGAAATACAGGAATACCACAAGATGCTACGCAGTTCGATTAGACCGCCTAGGTTGCGAGCCATGTGCAGCTACGCATTTCAATCACACCGCCTAGATTGCGAGCCATGTGCAGCTACGCATTTCGATTACACCGCCTAGGTTGCGAGCCATGTGCAGCTACGCATTTCGATTACACCGCCTAGGTTGCGAGCCATCTGCAGCTACGCATTTCGATTACACCGCCTAGGTTGCGAGCCATGTGCAGCTACGCATTTCAATTACACCGCCTAGGTTGCGAGCCATGTGCAGCTACGCATTTCGATCACACCGCCTAGGTTGCGAGCCATGTGCAGCTACGCATTTCGATCACACCGCCTAGATTGCGAGCCATGTGCAGCTACGCAGTACGATTACCCCCCCCCCCCCCGGTTGCGGGTGTTGTGCAGTCGCACAGTTAGAACACCCCTTAAGGCCGACACATATCTAAACTGTATCCTTGCACTGAAAGCAGGAAATACAACGAGTGTGGGAAATTTGACGTCTGTCATGGTATCAAGCCGGTCGTACGTTCATAAAATGTGCATGGCTGAAATCAAAGAAAACATTTTTGATGACACGGCAAATTTTATGCCATGACAGACGTCAAGTTCCCCATTGCACGCGTTAGACCTTAGGGCCAGTGGTAGCTGTGTTTTAGATCGTATAACCTAGTAATGTTCTCCCCGTTAAATCCATGATACCTAGAGAAAGACAGATCGGAGATGATCCTCCACTTTTGAGCACATTTGACGTTATATGCGGAATGTGGGTTAGGACCTGCAGATTTCGTCAATGCCTTGAGATGTAAACAGGGTTATGGTTGGGATTAGTGCTAGCCCTGTTTACATCTCGTGACCTTTGGCTAAACTTGAAGTTAGCCTTATCAATTAGATCTATCTAACCACCTTGAAGAGAGTTGGCCCAACGCCCGACCGAAGAATTCTATAGGCTGTGTCTTCGTCTTCGTTGGTGATTCCCTAATTCATGTCTGTTTACAGGGGTTAGAAATTATAGTGTGATTATGTCTACTAAAGATACTGAGAACCCGCATTGGATGTCCAGGTGACATATAAATGCAGATGACTGTAGCTAGCATCTGCATTGCAATAACCGCCCCCGCCCCCGCCCCCGACACCGACCCCAATACCCACCTTAACCCTAATACAACCACATCATTTTATATCACCAGGTATAATATTTCACAATTCGATCATCTATGTGCATTTCCTTTTAATTGTATGTTTTAGGATGTGAGGTCATTATCTGTTTAAACGAATAGATAACTCCATCATCTGTTTGAACTTATAAATGAAATGGGGTTTAACGTCCTACTGTTCTTCTCCGACTGGGCTAATGATGACGGGGTTTGAATAGGTAAACCCAACCATCAGCTTGAACATCTATTTGAACGAACAGAAACAGATAAGTCCATTATCTGTTTTAACGAACAGATAATTTCGCCATTTGTTTCAACAAACAGGAAACTCCATCATCTGTTTCAACGAACAGATAACTCTATCATCTGTTTCAACGAACAGATAGCTCTATCAGCTGTTTGAACGAACAGATAACTTTATCAGCTGTTTGAACGAACATATAACTCCATCTGTTTGAACGAACAGATAATCCACCGTCTTGTCCGTCTATTTAAACGAACAAATATCTCCATCGTCTATTTTGACGAACATATAACTCACATCATATGTTTAGACACGTTTCAACAGATAACATACAATTACGTCATATGTTTCCACGGTGTGTTCAAAGAGGTAACTATCCCATTTGTTGGAACTCCATGTTTGAATAAGTAACTCCTTTATCTGTTTGAACAGTTCATCATTTATATTTGAACAATCTGTCCCACAATCTGTTCAAACAGAGAACTCTATCATCCGTTTGAACGAATAGATAACTCCATCATTCGTTTGAACACACTCCATCATCTGTTTGAACGAACAGATAAATCCATCATCTGTTTGAACGAACAGATAACTCCACCATCTGTTTGAACGAACAGATTACTCCATCGTCTGTTCAAACTTGTGTAGACGAGGTATCCTTTATAACTGATTCAGATTTAGCTCTCTGCGATTCGGGAGTTGAATTATTACCGGTGTCCATTAATGTTAAATTAATCGGCTGAGTCGTCCTCTTGGGCACAGGATCAATTTGATTACGTCGACAGCACAAGATCTTATTAAAATTCTTCCGAAACTTTTCATTCATAAAAGCAAACACAATTGGATTAACACACGCGCTACTAAGAGCCAGCCATTGCAAATAATATTTTGAGGCCAGTGATTTTTCCGAGGCCAATAATTTTGTTTCTTTAGCGACGACTTCAAAGATGATTAATGGCGACCAACAGCCTGTGAACAACAACACAACCACGATTAACATCTTGACCGCTTTTTTCTTGTAACGAGTCTGAACGTCCTCGGATTGTCGGAATGATGAACCTATTGGTCGCTTGGACCACAGCGTATAGCATATAACAGAATACGTCACGGTCATGAAGACGAACGGGATTATGAACAAGACGACCATAGTTAACCATATTTGTAGTTGGTCAATTGGGCTTCTGTCGTGGCCCCGACAGAAATGAGCCGTTCGGTGATCTGTGTGTTTAGGGCAACCTTTAGGATCCACACACACTTCAAACAGTTCAAAACAGAACGAATACGGTATGCTTGATACAAGGGCGATAATCCATACAATTAGCAACAAAATGGCTGCCCTTTTTGGTGTTTTTACAGCATTGGCTTTTAACGGGTGAACAATGGCATAATATCTATCAAAAGCGATGCAACACAGCGTCAAGGAACTTGATGACACGGTTAAGTTATCAATGAACGGCACAAGTTTACACGAAAAGGCGCCAAATATCCAATATTTAGTCAGAATGTTGCCGAGGTTAATAGGCATGCACGTGACGGTTACAGTAAAATCACTAATAGCCAACGAAACTATGAAAACATTAACAATAGACCGCATGTGGCGATTACATATAAACGTTAAAAACACTAACGAATTGCCCACGAGCGACACCGTTATTATGACGCTATACAGGAACACTAGCATGCTTTTTGTGACGTTACTTATGTCTCTGATGACGTCAATGGGAATACTGGTCGGCTGAAATGTCTCTGGTGTTCTCTCCATGAAGGGTTTACAGAACGTCAGATCCGATTCGTTATGGCTGACGTTGAGTATCCGTTTACAGACATTTTGAAGAAGTTCCTGGACTTGTTGTGGATCTGTTTTGTCTATAGTGTGCAGCCAAGGCAAGGTATGGTCGAATTGAGACGTGTTTATCGCCATTTTACACTAGGCCTCTTCTTCCTGTTTTAAAATAGAAAATGTTTTATAATAAAGTTAGGTGTAATCCATTCAATGCGGTTTATGCCATTTAGAGCTAGACAAATTTTGTCTTTATATCAATATCAATCAAATCTTATTTCGTTTCGTTTTTCTATAGGCCTAGTTCAAAATTTCGTTTTAGGCCTACTTGTCTTTACTACACTAGGATCTCTATAGATATGTATTTTAATCAGATTGATTCAGATTGATCAGGGGTGGTTGGATGGCCGAATGGTTATGTCATTGAGACAACTGGTGGGGTTTCGATTCCCCGGTTGTACGTGACAAGGAGTAGCGTCGCCAGTCCAACCTCGTGGGTTTTCTCCGGGTCCTCCGGTTTCCTCCCACTGCTAAATACCCCTACGCGCAAGCGAATGATTGAAATAAAGTTAAACCATGTGTTAGTCCCGAAATGACCTAGTTTGTGTCGAGTGGACGTTAAACCCCATTTCTCTCTCTTTCTCAGATTGATCAATAATCCTCCATGTTCAAATTTGGTAGTCTCTAACGTTTCTTATTTTGTCCGTTTTGTTTATCTGCAGACATTCATATTGGGCGGATTCAGGATTTTGATAAATGATGGGTGCATAAAAAGATGGGTTCCCAGAAAAGTATTTATCGGGTGGTTATTTCCAATAAAAGTATGGCAATTTTGGTATATATGGAAAGAGGAGATATCCAATCTTCTTACTAGAAAAATACTAGATTCCCCGAAAAACATTCATGGAGCGTATACAGGACAAAAATGTCAGGGTTCCCCTAATCAACAGCCCGACGATTAGGAACTTTTGAACGCGTGATGTCAAAGGTCACAAGCGAACATTAAGCGCTTGATGTACAAGTTGATAAACTTTATGAAGAGTTAGACGTACAATACTTTCTGAGATAAAAATGACGGAAAAAGACGCGGGTAGTGGATAATCCGAGAATTTAATTAGGATTCGATATTTGTAATAAATAGTAAGCGATTAAAGACAACATCGTCTTATGTATGCAATGAATTCTCCTCAGACTCCCAAGACGTGACGTAAACATGACCTGGTTTGATCGAATTTTAATAGCAGGGCATTCCTTCGCAATTACAATGTTTGAGAAGGATTTGAAGCATAATTATGACCAATTAATTAGTTTGAATATGTTTTTGGTCCATATATACCATTAAATCACCCAGTTTGTACGCGGGATCCCATCTTTAAGTGTAAATACTGCATTCTAAACTCCATTTTCTTACACAAAAAGTTTGTTTATTCACACATAAACTGGATGCAGGCTTTTATATCTTATAAGCTTCAAATCAGCCACATGGGTTACAGGATGTGTTGAGACCATCCACCCCACCCCCACCGCCACACTTCTTGTCAGTGGTGCAGAACGAAGGGACTGGCAAGGGACAACGTATAGTCGTTTAAATGGGACGAAAAACCGAGGTCCCGTGTACACAGTGGTTTGCACGTAAAAGAATCTTTGATAGTTGGAATTCGAAATCAGATTAGACCGAAGTGCCGCTATTCGGAGTATTCATTAGGCTGTTAAGCTTCATTTCATTTTGTTGAGATGTTGGTTACCATAGGGCTAAATATATTTCTTAAAAGCCAGCTCGGGGTCACGGTGGCTAAGTGGGTAAGACGTTGACTCGCTAGCCTGGAGGTCGGGTGTTCAATTCCAGCATTGGCCAAAAAAGTTCATCCAGATTTTCCGGCGTGGTTCCCCTTGTCAGTGGTGCAGGGCGTAGGGCCTGAAAAGGATGGGACGAAAAACCGAGGTCCCGTGTATACATTGGCGTGAACGTAAAAGATTCCTTGAAAGTTGGAGTTCGATACAAGAGTAGGCGGTAGTGCCGCTGTCCGGGCAAAATTTACCTCATAACACACTGTATGGCGTATGTCCGTCTTCATTAGCCCAGTCGGAGCAGAACAGTAGGACGTTAAACCCCATTTCATTTCATTTCGTTAAAGCCAGCTCAATTTTGTCAAGGTCGCAGAAATGTAAATAAGGTTAGGGCACGTGATTGTTGGCGAGATTAAAGGTTAGGTTTAAGAATGGGTTATTGTTTGGGGTAAGGCAGTTTTTCTCTTAGTTTTAAAGCAAAAGTACATAGTGGTTGGCTTATTCGTCGAATAAGTAAAATAATATGTACCTGATCAGACATAATAATTCTGTAGCAATAATATTTTCAGTAAGCCGATATCGAAAAATGTCAATCAGTCAGCTGAAATATTGCTAGCCGGATGTGGACACTGTGCTTGGCAAGGCATATACTTGATGTGGGCGAGGTCTGCCTCTGTTTTTGTACGCCGTGGACAATCGCCATGTTTGTTTTACAAATTGAAAATTTGTTTAGGGTGTTAACTTTTTTATTTAATCATTTCTGGAGTTTTGTAATCAAGCTTTAAATTCCTTAAGTGGCATTTAGTAACTGAATGAGAATAACAAATTATGAAATACAAGGTACTTGAAGGATTTATTTCTGGCGACGTTTCTAAGAGGGCTCTCCTGTCGTTATCTCGTTTTTATCAAACAAAGAATGACTTTTTTTCTTCACTGTGTCAACTCCAGTCACTGAGCAAAAAGGTTTTGGCAATCTTCTCCTCGAAAATGATCTTTCTTTCATTACGTTTCATTTATTTGTACAAGGTTTTTTTTATTAAATGTCCACATTGAATCACAAATACAGAAGTATCTCTCAAGATATTTCCCAGGATGATGTGATTCACAATACTTCGATTGAATAATAAATGTAGAAGTAGCTCTTACGATTTATTTTGTTATGATATGGTTTACATCACTTTAACTGAAAGGTCCCCTTGACGTCTATTAAATCAGGTTGAAATATCTTCTTCTAATGAGAATGAAAAGTGATGGCCTGATCGAAATTTTCTTGGGCGAGGAAACTAGGAAGGTACAAGGCGATCTTAGTTACAGGTTAAATTAGTTCTCTTCCTTCAAGAAATAAGAGAGAGGTGAGGTTTAAAATCCACTCGACACAAGCTAGGTCATTTGGGGACTAACATATGGTTCAGTTTTATTTCAATAATTCGCATGGGCATAGGGGTCTTTAGCAGTGGGGGGGAAACCGGAGAACCAGGAGAAAAATCACGAGGTTGGTCAGGCGACCCTACTCCTTGTCACATACAACCAGGGAATCGAAACCACGCCAGTTGACCCAATGACAGATCTTATAATACAGCGCGCACGCGCTACCCATTCGGCCATCTAATCCCCATAAAAAATAAGAACTGCGAAGGAATCTTTTACGTGCACGCCAATGTTTGTTTACACGGGACCTCAGTTTTTCGTCTCATCCGAACGACTAGACAGCCGTCCTTGTCAGACCCTCCGTTCAGCATCACTGACAAGAGTAAACCAAGTCGGAAAATCCCGATAAACCTGTCACCTCCAGGCTAGCGAGTCAGCGTCTTACCCACTTAACCACCGTGACTCTCTATTATATTTCTACTTGAACAGATTAAAGAAGGCGATATTTTATAGCCGGGCTTTTAAACATAAACACTAAGGATGTTAAAACCGATAAGGGATAATCAGTTTTGAGTACTCTCCGCTCCTTTAGGGTAAAACCTGTATAACCCTAATAAACGTTCAAGATTGCGGCCATTTATAAAGTTGTTAATTCCTTGACATAAATATGTCCATAAACAAGGCAATGATAATAAAATGATGATAAAAACGTAGAATATTCCCTAGCGTAGTAAATAGATAATGGTAGCACGACGATATATTATCTCCACCATTTGTAAAGTTATCGTTTTGTTGCAGAAAGATAATCCTATTTTATTTAATGTCTGTGTAGTTGCAATAAAATGTATAAAGTTTCAATTAATTGTTATCTTCTTCGATGGTGGATCAATCGACATGAAGTTAATACCGCTGATCCTCAGTGCTGTCAAAATGTCGTCCGATTGATTATTTAAGATCATTTATTTTATTGAATAGAAATAAAATTAAATGGGGTTTAATGTCCTACTTCATTGCACTGAGTGGTGTAATGAATCAGGGGCGGATCCCGGGCGGGGGGGGGGGGTCAACCCCCATGCTGCTCAGCTACATAAAAAATTAAATTGTAAAACAACACTTTATGAGGAAAGTGTAACGGTTGTGTGTTTTATTCTTTATCATCAGATGGTGGCATGGGATGGGCATTGAAATTGCGATATAATATAGACATGTGTGATATCACAATTAATGCTTTGCATCAATGAAATTGAATCGTAGTGTGATCCTATTAATTCATAATAAAAATTGGTATCAAACGGGCTGTTGTGTCTTTCTCTTTAAAAATCTCAATGTATGTGTATGCCTACGTAGTTTCGAGACGATGATGACATCATACATTGTCAATTGCCAAATTTCCTTAACAGGAGCCTGGCAAACCCCCTCAAAAATTCCTGGGTCCACCCCTGTGAATGTACGCCATGCAGTGTGCTTTGGGGGAATTTGGCCCGGACAGCGGCGGTACGACCTACTTTTTTTCGAATTCCAACTGGCAGGGGTTCTTTTATGTGCGCGCCAATATGTACTCGGGAACTCGTTTTTTAAGAAATTGTTAGTCCCTTATACACTTAGATGGCCGAATGGTTCGCGTGTGTGCGTTGTATCATAAGGTCTGTCATTGTGTCAACTGGCGTGGTTTCGATTCCCCGATTGTACGTGACAAGGAGTAGGGTCGCCTGTCCAACCTCGTGGGTTTTCTCCGGGTCCTAGGGTTTCCTCCCACTGCCAAAGACCCTTACGCGCACGCGAATTATCTTAGTCCCGAAATGGACTAATTTGTGTCGAGTGGACGTTAAACCCCATTTCTCTCTCTCTCTCTCCCTTTGTACACTAAAATATTGTGAAAGTTCAATTTGAAAAAACGAAGGATTTGGTGAGAGGGTGAACAGAAATAAAGTATTAGGTAGACTCGAAAACAGGTTTTAAAGCTTATATTAATCCGTTTCTAAATAATAATAT